AACAGACAAACATTGTCCCCTGGAGAAGGGGAAAAGATCACCATCCCCTGAGCAAATTGAGAACATGGGAAGGGTGTGGGAGGAAGCTACGAGAGTGAGAAGGGAAGAAAAGGAAGGATGTAAAGGTCATGCGGAAGCAGAAATTTTGAGTCAGGTGTAGATTAGAAGAAAGGACATATGACAGGTAGGATTTTAGTTGGGGGGGTGGTAGAGGAGGAAGGGAGGGAGAAGGGAACTGGGATCATCATGTAATTCAATCTTGTTTGTAATTCAAATATATAAAAAAATAAATAAATAAAAAATAAAACAAAGCTTTCTGTGCCAGTATTGCTCCCGTGAACATGGTGAACATTCCTAAGACCCGCTGGACATTGTGCAAAAGAAAAAAAGAAGTGTGGCAAGCATGAACCCTACAAAGTGACACAGGACAAGGAAAGCAAGGATTCTTGGTATGCCCAGGGAAAGTGGCTATGATGGGCAGACTAAGCCTACTTTCCGAAAAAGACTAAAACTACAAAGAAGATGAACTGAGACTGGGGTGTGCTGAGCCTATCTGAGGATCTGAGAGGATGCTGGCTAGTAAGAGATGTGAGCATTTTGAACTGGGAGGTGATAAGAAGAGAAAGAGGCAAGTGATCCAGTTCTAAGTTGACTTTGTAATGAAGATAATAAAATCATGAGCCTTACTCACAAAAAAAAAAAAAAAAGAAGGAAGGAAGGATCAAAACACATAATTTACACTGAAGCTCAATATGCTACCTGTTAGGGAAACATAAAATAATGTGACAGGCATAGAACCATATGGATTTATGGCGAGTCTTCAGTTCTCAATGAAACACCCAAAAAGGTAGATAGATGAGTTCACTCCCTTGGTGGAGTAGTTAAGATATTAGTTTTGCTAGCCACAGATTTAAAGCTCTCTAATGTGAAGTATAAAAGAGCTCACATCTCAACCATAGTCAAAGCCATGATGAGCCAATGCAAAAATTTTGGATGCAAGTAAGAGGAAAAAAGCTCACATATAAAAGACAGTATGATCAATGATGACTTTTCTTGCTCAATAATGGAGACCAGGTGCCAATAAAATGATATGTACCTACTCAAATGACTGCATCAAACAAAATAAAATGTCTTTTAATGGTGAAATAGCTATAAAGATATTCTTGGACAGAGAATGAGTGGTTTTATAGCAGGTAGATCTGCTTTATAAGAAATGTTGGGTTAGGGGGACAGTTTAGAACACATAGCAAGGCCTTCAGTGTGAGCCTTAGTATGAAAACAACAAATGAAAGCAATAGCAAAGGAAGCCCTTTGGGCTGAAAGAAGGCACTAGATAATAATAATAAAAAAAATCTAAGGAAAGAATTCATGGTAAAAGAAACGGTAAAAATGTGAGTCTTTAAGTACATTTTCATTTCTCTTTTATAACATGATTAAAAACAAAATTTTATGGAGAAATAAATGTTTTATTGATTAAAATATAAATTTAACATATTACAATAATAGTATAAAGGATTGTGGAGAAATAGTCATAATGGAGAAAAGAATATAAAATATTTTATATTTTAGATTAGTATTAATCAGAAATTACTGTGCCATAAAATGTGTTTTATTATTCCTTGAGTCACCACAAAAAAGTCACTCAAAAAATTAAAAACACATGGATCAGGAGGTGGCCAGAGTGTATAATCTGAGTTCACAGGAAGCGGAGGCACAGGACTGTGAATTTGAGACCAGCTCGAACTGTAAGGGAGACCCTATTTTTAAAAAATTTAAAAATCAAAGGGGTGAAGAGATGGTTCAGCAGTTAAGACCCCAGTTGGTGGTGCATGCCTTTAATCCCAGCACTCAAGAGAATAGGCAGGCAAATCTCTGTGAATGTGAGGCCAGCCTGGTCTATGTAGTGATCTTGAGGCCAGCCACAGATACATAATGAGAGCCTATTTTAACGTGTGTACTGCTCTTGCAGAGGATTTAAGTTCAGTTCCCAGTAGCCATGTTGGGTGGCTCACAACTGCCTGTAACTCCAGCTCCAGGGTTGTATCTAACACCTCTAGCCTCTTCATAAATACATATCCACACATAGACACACACACAATTTTGAAAATAGATCTGTAAAATAATCAAGGTATTAAAACAACACATTAGGGTACAGTAAATAAGGAACATTTGACTGAGGACAGGAGACATAAAGAAAACAAGATGGCATTAATTACGTTAAATATGAGTGGTCTTAATATTCCAATCAAGAGGCAGAGATGTTTTAGATAGGATAGCAGAGTTGACGTATATACACTATCTACAGTACACATATCAAAGACACAGGCTGAAAACAAGAAGAAAAGGATGTTCTATGCCAATAATCCCCATTAGAAACTGGGGTACCATCCCTTGTGAAGGGATGCTCTCTTGGCCTGGACACATGGGGAAGGGCCTAGGCCTGGCCCAGGATGATGTGGTAGACTTTGGGGAGCCCCTTTTGAGGGCCTTACCCTGCCTGGGGAGTAGAGGGGGGTGGCTAGGGCAGATGGGATGTTGGGGGTGAGGGGAGGGAGAGGGAGAAGGGATTGACATCTGAAGCAAGCTTGTTCCTAATTTGAACTAATAAAATAAAATAAAAAGAAACTGGGGTATTTATACTAACTTCACACAAAATAGACTTCATATAACACTAGAAACAAATGAGGTCATTTTACAATGAGATCTGTAATAATTGTAGCAATTAAAAAATAGTTTCACTCTTCCTTTCAGTAATTGGTAGAGTAACTAAACAGAATTGGCAGAGGTATAAAGAAGTTGAAGAACATTCTCAGCCAACTGTCTCTAACTCACATCTGCATAGCACACCATCGGACAAGGGGCGCTCTTCAGAATAATATGTGAGGTCATTAAATAATATTCAGTACACCAGAAATCATTAATACACTAGTACAATGCATTTTCTCCAACCACAGTTGAATTGTATTTAAAAAATGGGCAACCAAATGGCATGGTAAAAAAAAAAAAAAAGAATCAAGTATTTGAAAAAAATAACATGCTTCTAAATGCCTACAAGACCCCCAAAGAAATCACAATGGATTTTTCTTCTTTTTTTTCCTTTTTTTATTAGAAAGAAAATTATTTTACATGTCAATCCCAGGTCCCTCTCCCTTCACAATGGATTCTTAAAGATTTGAACTAGAAGAAAATAAAATGGAAACATGTCAGAACTAGCGAATGTAGCACTGAGGAGGGAGACTGTAATCTCCACCAGCCGTACAGCAAGAGAAACAAGTTTGATCTTGGTAACATCAATGTTTTCATCCTGAAGGAACAGCAGAAAGAAAAGTCAAATAGGACCAAAGTAAGACACAGAAAAGAAAAAGTGAGCTGTTAGAACAGGTGCAATAAAATGGAAGATTGAAATGGCAGAGAACAAAAAAGCAACAAAAGGCTTGGTCTTGAAACACTTCATAAAATTGATGAATCTTTCACCAGATTGACTAAGAAAAGAGAGACACTGGCAAAGCCACAGGAGGAGAGAAGAGAAAGTTGTGATCCTTAAGGGAGCTCCAAAAGATCATGAGTGACATGAGCAATGACATTAACACAAACATGCTAACAAATGAGACCGCTTGTATGTAGTCAGCCATCTCCTAAAATGATACAGTGATCTAGCTGACTCAAGAGCTGGATCTCTGAAATGATGTCAGCTCTTGGAGGTGCAAGCAGGATTATCAAGAGTTCAAGGCAAGCTTTTGCTACGTCTACCTGAGACCCTGTCTCAAATAAACAAAATAAAACAACAAAAATAAAACTGACTGTATAAGAAAAACTTAATTAGTAGTTTAAAATATTTCCACAGAGGAAAGATGATTATTTTTGCTAGTGAATTCTATCAGATATTTATAGAAGAAATAATTTCAACTTTTCTTTCCCATACTCTGTCTGAAGACAGCGATCAGTAGTCTATAAGGCCAGTATTATTCCTACACCAACGCAGCCAGCCACACAAAGACATGATCAGGAAACACAGGTCAATTTCCATATATATCAATGGTTAAAGAAGAGGGAACTATGAATTTGAGAGAAAGGCCATGAGAGGGGTAGAAGGGAGGTAAGAGAGGAAGAAATGATGTAATTTTATCTTAATTTAATTTAAAAAATAACAATAACAATAATAAAAGATTGTACTCCATGACCAGTGGAATACAGATATTTCCCAGGAATGCAAAGTATTGGCCTAACATCTGAAATCAGTAATATAAGGTACAGTAACAGGTAATAGAATAAGAGACAAAAACTTAAAATGTGGACATTTCAACAGACACAAAAGAAGCATTTGGGCTGGGCATTGGTGGCGCACGCCTTTAATCCCAACACTTGGGAGGTAGAGGCAGGCGGATGGATCTCTGTGAGTTCGAGGCCAGCCTGATCTCCAGAGCGAGTGCCAGGATAGGCTCCAAAGCTACACAGAGAAACCCTGTCTTGAAGAAACCAAAAAAAAAAAAAAGAAGAAGAAGAAGCAGCAGCAGCATTTGATTGTTATTTTGGTTCTCTTTGGTGGTGGTAGGGAGATGAACATAGGGTCTCAGGCATGCTAGGAGAGTGCCCTATCACTGAGCTACATTCTGAGTCCTCAGAGAAAGCACTTGAGAGACCATGACCTCCATTTTCTCAATAAATGGCATCTACAAAAATCCATAGCTAACATCGTACTCAATGCTTGAAAAGCTGTTTCCCCAAGGCTGGGCACAAGATAAATTCTGTTGTTGCCACGCTTATCGAGCATTGTGCTGAAGGCTCCACACAGTCTACCCAGACAAGAGTAAGAGATAAAAAGCATCAAGTTGGAAAAAAGAAAAGATTAAAACTGTTTTGTTCACTGTACTATTACTGTGAAGAGACACCATGACCAAGGGGATTCCTACGTAATCTTGATAAAATATTTTTCTCAATGAAAATGTAGAATCCTGTTTCCAAAGCATGACTTTAACTGTGTCCTTATTCTTTTACAACAGAATATGCTTCCCTGGGGTCCCTGTATGACTACATTAACAGCAACAGGAGTGAAGAGATGGACATGGATCACATCATGACCTGGGCCACCGATGTAGCCAAAGGTAACGCTGCTTGATATGCCCCTACAGAGGTGGGTGGTGTTTTCCCACTCTGACCTGGAGTAGTATGTCAGAAAGCTTTTAATTCTATGTCTTTAGGCATTCTTTTTTAGATCAGACATAGTAAAATATTATTCAACTCACTGTACAGATAATGTTTTGGTCATTGCCTTTCAATTCCTGAATTCCCTTTGTCCTTTTCTGTTTTCTTTCCCTAAAATCAAGTTTTACAAAGTCAGTAAGCTGCAGGGCAGAGATTTTTTGCTGTGTTTTGTGGCATTGTAATTGACAAACTCACTTGCCATATTAAGTGGGAAATCGTAGCTCTGTTGTCCTGAGAATTTCTCTGTGGGTCTCTAAAAGTGTGGCTTATAGAAGGATTGGTCTTACTTGCTTGAATACATAATAATGTATTAAAATAGTAACCACTGTCCTGCATGAAAAGTAGCTCCAATTTTATTTTATATATAGTGGAAGCTTGGCTGTCACCCTTGAAAATCAAATATTCTAAGTATGCAAAATCCCCAGCCAGCTTCCTGATTCTCCCCCTTCCCTAGAAATTCCTGCATAGACTAATGCTTTCTAAAGCGATTCAAATTCTATTAATTTTTCTCCTTTTTTGCACTTTCCTACCTGAGCAGTTTGGAGTCTTCATCATAACTGTTGGAACTGCCTTGGAATTAGCTTTATCTAAGTAATGACTGTGGCCATCACATTTGTATTCTGGGATCCTCTAGGTAGCAAGTGGTTGGCACTTTACCTGGGTAGTTAGCTCCTATGCATCCTAACAGACATCTCTTTACAAAGCTAATATACAGTGTTGCTCAGTGTTCAATAAGGGAAGCAGCTTATATTTTGTTTTCATGGCAAAGATAAAGATGCATAACGACTTCACCAGGAACCTGTTCTGCGGGGGAATTATCTCAAATGCCTTAAGTTTCACCAGCACCTGCCAAATTCCTCAAACAAGAAAAGTAAAAGAAAGCAAATTAACTTTTATGCTAATGCTGCCACTCACTACCTGTGAGTTAAATGTAAGCAGCCCTATGCTTGAATATGATGCCTTACTTTTGGGCTGTGGTGATGAACTTACCCATTTATCCATGCATCCGACATCTTAAACTTATCTTAATATTCCATGTTCTTAAAGATGTTTTCATGTAATATTATAGTCACTTCTCTACATGTCCATAGTACACATGGAGCACCTGTGAGTGTCCGTGGTACACAAGGAGCACCTGTGAGTGTCTGTAGGACACAAGGAGCACCTGTGAGTGTCTGTAGTACACATTGAGCACCTGTGAGTGTCCATAGGACACAAGGAGCACCTGTGAGTGTCTGAAGGACACAAGGAGTACCTGTGAGTATCTGAAGGACACATGGAGCACCTGTGAGTGTCCATAGGACACAAGGAGCACCTGTGAGTGTCCATAGGACACATGGAGCACCTGTGAGTGTCTGTAGGACACAAGGAGGGCCTGTGAGTGTCCATAGGACACAAGGAGCACCTGTGAGTGTCTGTAGGCCACAAGGAGCACGTGTGAGTGTCCGTAGGACACATGGAGCACCTGTGAGTGTCCGTGGTACACAAGGAGCACCTGTGAGTGTCCATAGGACACAAGGAGCACCTGTGAGTGTCTGTAGGCCACAAGGAGCACGTGTGAGTGTCCGTAGGACACATGGAGCACCTGTGAGTGTCCGTGGTACACAAGGAGCACCTGTGAGTGTCCATAGGACACAAGGAGCACCTGTGAGTGTCTGTAGGCCACAAGGAGGACCTGTGAGTGTCTGTAGGACACAAGGAGCACCTGT